GGAATTCAAATCATATTTTTAATAACAAAAACATATATTTTTACACATTATGAATTTATATTAATTATATGATAAATTTTTATAGCAATTAAAATATTATAGTGAATAATCTCATAAAAACCTACTAAAATATTTTATAATACTTTTATCAAACATTAGATATCAATTTATGATTGATAAATGTCATTGATGTCATCGATTTACTTTACATAGAGATATATACTCGTCAAATCTTACACTTTTAGATCTTAACAGTAAATATATTATTATAATTATTTCATAACATGTATAAACTTCATTTTATATAATTTTCTTTTTTAAAATTAAAAAATATAGGAAGAAGATTTATATTTTCTTTGTAATGTTCTATAACTATGATTACAAAGTAAATATGTTTATAGATTTTTTTTTTTGGTATGTTTGTGCATATAAATTATAACATTTAGGTTTTCGTATTCTTTTTAATTTTTTTTTTGTTTTTTCAATTGATAAAAAAAATTTTTTTTATCATTCATATTTGTTTCTTAATTTAATTTTTTATTTCCTCTTTAATTTTGTTTTTTTATTTTATAGTCTTTCTTTAATTTGATCAATATTGGACACATGTTATGATGTGGTGAATTATAATTTTGCTTAAGTGTCAAACTTTCGTCGATAATATTCTTTTACTTGATTTTCTTTTTTTTTCTATTTTTTTAGGGTTTACACTTTCTCTATTTTGTTTTTATGAATTGAATTTGATAATTAAATTAAACTATTAGATTATTTCTAATCTAACTAGTTTGGACAATTAGAAATTTGAATAATTTCAAAAATGCCACTTTTCAAGTGCCACTTTACAAAAATATCACACTTTTGAAATCTTTACAAAAATGCCACTTTTTTCAAAATTATTTTTTCTTTATATTATTTATGTTTGAGTTAATTATGTTCTATTACGGTTTAGTTATGAGAGTTTAAAAGGTTTAGGGGTCTAACCATTTTTTTAGTGTTTAGAATTTTAAGATATAGGGTTTAAAAATCTATAATTAGTGGCATTTTTACAAATGAACACTTCTAAGTGGCATTTTTGCAAATGTGCACATAAAAAGTGGCAATTTTACAATTTCTCCAAATATGAGTTTTCTCATAATGAGTTTGAACAATAATTTTTTTTTATTCTTTACTATTTGATTAGTTACTTTGCAAATATTTTGTTCGTTTTCCAATTTTATTTTTATATATCTTTTATTAATTTTAAAAAATTTCAAAAAATACAATTTTTCAAGTGTCACTTTACAAAAATGCCACACTTGCAATCTTTACGAAAATGCCACATTTTCGAAATTATTTTTTCTTTATATTATTTATGTTTGAGTTATTTATGTTTTATTAGGTTTAATTATGAAGGTTTAGGGGGTTTAGGAGTCAAAACATTTTTTAGTGTTTAAAATTTTAAGATATAAGGTTTAAAAATCTATAAGTAGTGCAAATGAACACTCCTAAGTGGTATTTTTGCAAATATGCATATAAAAAGTGACATTTTTGTAATTTCCTCTTAATTTTAAATATTAACACATGTCATCATCTGATGAACCGTAAACATATATCACGATCTGATGAATTAAAATTTTTAGTTATATATTGCGCTTTTATCTAGCGTATTTTCATTTATATAATAAGATATTGTTTTCTTTATTTTATGGTTGGGCTTCATGTATTGCTATTGCGTACGCCTGTCTCTCTCGAATAACTGGCAACTGCCCATATATGGGATATATTTCAGGTAACGACATCAAACCATTCGTAAATCAAGGTCGTTCACAATAATCATTTAGATGAAGCTTAAAAATTTTAACTTAAAAAAAGATCATAGTTCACAATTCGTAAATCAAGGTCGTTCATTTTCTAACATAAAAAAAAAGATTTGTAATCTTTAAAATTAATAAATCATCTATTAATTTTAATGATAAAAATATAATAATTTAAATTACAATATATTTTATATTAATTTAAATAAAATTACCAGTTGATACTTTTTTATAAAATAAAATTACGAATTGATTTTAATTAATTTTATAATCAACAATTTAATTAATTTAGATAATATTATATCAAGTCGATAAATATAAAAATTAAATCAATGGTTTAAACAACTTGAAAAAGTAAAAATTCAACTAACCAAAATAGAAATCGATGAATACAAAAAATTAAGTCGTCAAACTATAAAAATAAGTTAGTGGTTTAAATAAGTTGATAACTTAAATTGTTAATCAAATGAAATATAAGTCAACACTTTAAAATAAGTCGACGAAAGTTCACG